ATGGGTCCGTATCAGACTGGGCTTCAGTGCTCAGCGGCGTGCCACAAGGAAGCGATCTCGGGCCTGTTTTATTCGTTGTGTTTATAAACGATCTGCCAGCTGTGTCTAGCGTGTGCTCGATGTATGCTGACGACACAAAAATTTATAATACAATGAAGAATACGTCGCCAAAAGTACAGTTACAAGGTGATATTGACTGGCTGATTGACTGGGCTGATAAGTGGCAGCTGCGTTTTAACGCTGACAAATGTAAAGTAATCCAACTTGGCAAGAATAATGAACAGCAAGATTACAGTATGAGAAGACGCGGTTGCAACGACAGAGTGATGATGTCGAAGTCGACAATGGAAAAATATTTAGGAGTTAATATCGACAATGAGTTGAAACTTTCTAGGCTTATTGAAGGTCAAGTTAATAAAGCCTATAAACGACTTGGACTGATCAGACGCTCTTTCGAGTTCCTAGATGCAGAAGCGATGAAGCAGTTGTTTGTTGCTGTCGTGCGCCCGAACCTAGAATTTGGAAACGTGTGCTCACCGAAACTTGAAAAGGACAAAAATTTAATAGAAAGCCTTCAAAGACGTGCAACAAGGATAATTCCGGGCTTGATAGGCAAGTCCTATGAGGAAAGAATAAAGATTATGAAGCTTCCAAGCCTCAGTTATCGACGTCTGCGTGGGGACCTCATTGAAGCATACAAGTATACTCATGGCTTATACAAGGTCCCAGAAGGATTACTAGAATTTGAAACAAGAACCAACACCCGGGGCCACGGCTACAAACTAAAAAAACTGCATTGTAACATCCATGCGACAACATTTCTCCTCGCTTCGAGGCACTGACATGTGGAACATTCTCCCTGATAGCATCATTGACGCTCCGAGAATGAACGCCTTCAGACCAGTGGACTAGACCAGTGGTTCCCAAACTTTTTCAGGCTGGCGCCCCCTTTGGCTCCCTAGTGAATTTCTCGCCCCCCCCCCTCCCACAGACACATAAAAACATACGCATCTTTCTTGAAATTTAGTACGCTACGATTTTAAAAGATAAAGGTTAAACACAAATGTGTATTTCACAAATAGAACCCCATTTCGTGAACCAATATTTTTTTAAGCTGGTTTAAGTTTTAACTGTTTCAGCGCTAGAAACCTAGGACGTCTCGGGCAAATATACGGCCGGACTCGCGGCCGGTCGCACGACCAATCTCCTAATTTAATTATCAAGTAATATCTCCCAAGCTAATGAACGCAGCTCAATGAAACTTGAAACATGTTTTCATCAGAACCTAACGGTGACTTTTAGCTCGTACAAATTTTTCACTTTCACCTTCTTTCGTGAGTTATATTGAGATTAAGGCCGAAATTCGCAATGATCAAAGAACATCTTCCGAACTACTGAACAGATTTGAACGAAATTTTGAATATACATTCCTAACTACCAAACGGTGATTTTTTAGCTTAAAAAAATTAGACTTTACCTTCGTTTGAGATTTTTTTCATTTCACCGTCATTCGTGATTTCACACTTCCTTATATTCGGCCCGTATCGCCAGATAATTTGTCCTTAAATTCGCGGCGGTCAAGAAATTTCTTCTAAACTACTGAACAGATTTCAATAAAACTTTGTATATAAATATCTAGCCTCCCAACGGTGATGTTTAGCTCGTGACAATTTTTTTTATTTTGCTTTCGTTCGCAAGTTGTACTGATACAGGAGGAGCGACCAGCTTTTCTACCTGCCGGTTTAACCAAGAGCCGTTTACGTTTATCCGTATACGAATAGCCGTATAACTCCCAAACGAAGGCAAAGCGAAAAAATTGTAGTGAGCTAAACATCACCGTTGCTGAGGTTAGGTATTTAAATACTAGTTTCATTCAAATCTATTCAGTAGTTTTGGAAGAAATTTCTTGAATTTAAGCACGCATTGCTGTTTTAATCACGAATGAAGATGGAATGAAAAAAAACTCGCGAACAAAGGCACAACCGAATAATTTTTCACGAGCTAAACATTACCGTTCGGTAGTTAGGACTGTAAATTCCAAAGTTCGTTGGAATCTGTTCAATAGTTTGACAGAAATTCCTTGACCACTGAGAATTTCGGCCCGTATTGCCATATAACTATGGCAAAAACAAATGAAGGCAAAATAAAAAATTCACGAGCTAAACATTGCCGTTATGTCCTAATGAATACGTGTACCAAGTTTCATAAGAGTTAAGTTCATTAGTAGAGAGATATTCCTTGATCGTTGAATTTAGAAATTGGCTGTGAGTCATGTGCTGCACGTGTTGTCTACAAATTGTCAAACAAACGTTGGAACTTCTGACCTATACTTTGGACTGTCGCTCCCCTACCACTGTGCTGGAATAAATCCCAGCATTAGCATTATTATTAGTTTCAGTTTTAATATTTTTTAGTATCCGCGTACGCGGACAGTCGCGTTCCGGGTGACTTAGAAATTTTGGCGGTTAGAGAAGCCTCGATCCCTGTTGCCGAAATAAATAACGATGTGACACGTAGAGAAAATCAAGACTAGTAAGTGATTTTATCGTGACTAATTTTGTTCATGTTGTAGCAGTGTACTCATAGCAACTGTCTGCAATACAACTCTGTGAAATCGTTTCTACCAAACATTAATTTGATAGAATTTCCCTGGCCAGTAGCTTAACTTGTCCTATGCAGTATTACTTGGCGTATGCGACCTGTATTTTATAAGAATTCTGGTGTTCAAGACTCTCAGATAACATGAATGTGAGTTCTGATACTTTCTGATGAGTTCTGTCACTTTCTGATAACTGTGCATCATTTTCATGTGTAATTTTGCCTGATTTATCAGTGATATGAGCAGGGATGTTCAAGCATAGTTTACTGTTCCATGATTTTCTATCTCATGATGCACAACCTGAAAACTATGTTCTGTGTCATTGAATCCGGTTAAACTCATAAGTGATCTTGATGTTGTCAATTATTAGCAGTTTTGCTCCATTTGTAACGTGTGTTTGTTTTTTCTGAGACTGATTTTCTAGCTTACTGCAATATCAAAGTGATTGTGCGAATTAATCCAATTGTCTATGAATTATGAATCAATTACTATTTTAAATTCACTTGTGTAACGTAACCAGGCAGTTTGTACTGTATAACCCTGAGCGGAATTTTTCCTTGACAAAATATTTCCTGTTGCCGCCTAGATGGAAATTCTGAATATTCCTACGCGTCTTAAATTGCTCAATCGTTGCCGACTAACGTTTTATAGGAATCACCATTAAGACCAATTTTAAGTTCTGCCTTCTTACGGTACTCTGTTTTGGAGAGCACATCATGTGAAGATGAACTGAAAAGAAGTACAGTAAAATTCCAAAATTATGTATTTCATTCTCCGCAAACCATCTGCGGCCTCTGGCAATGAGGCCGTGTCAGAAGCAACGCAAAAATTAGAGACGATCCCTAACGCGGATTCTGGCTACTAATGAGGTACGTTTTGAATTTCACGCAGATCCGTTCGGAACTAATTACAAGGTAGAGAATGAACAAATTTCAAAATATTGAAGGAACGCGTAATGAATGTACTAAATTCATTGATTATGAAAAGCTTGCACAAAGGTCGTGGTGATGATTATTCAATTCCGGGATGCAATAATGCTATCAAGCCAATGTCAGTAATTCATAGTGGAGCCCAGCTGCTGACTAATGATCCCTGCATCCTACGAAAGATGCGTTTCACCACTTCTAATCTTCAGTCTTCTACCACTTCTAATCTTCAGTCTTAGTGCCCGTTCACACTAGGGGCAACACACGGGCGTCAAGCGCCTCTCCACCCCTCTACACGCGCTTCTTGTGGGCAACGAAGCGATTGATGAGCAAGCGATTCACACTTCACTGTCGCCCTGCCCATGCAACACAAGCGCCGCTGCCGCCCGCCGCACTCAGTGGAAGACTGTCCGTGGTCTAGTGAGGTTGTTTTTATACGCTGGTCCTTCACTATGACAACTAACGCCACACAATATCTATTTGGATGCTGTTTAATTAGCTAAAGATTAAATTTCAAGGCTAAATATGGTCTAATATATTCACTTAAACTTGAGCGTCTAAATCTAAGAAAGCGAGCAGAACCGTGACCGGTTAGGCCGACCTCAACAATAAAAGTGAATATGAAAACGAGACCAGCGGAAGTCAGCTACGCCGCTGTATGTGGTCATGTCATGTACAAGGTTTGCATCGTTTTAAACATTCTGTTTGCTGCTACTATCCTTGTAACCGCGATTATTTCCAAGATGGTTACAATCCACACCATGAAACTAGTAAGTTGCAACTATATTAAGTTATAACTTGATTAGCGTGTTGATCGGGTTCTAAAGGCCTGATCCCTGGTGGAATCAAGTCACGAAAAATACAAGAATCGGCAACAGGCCATGGGCTATTTCTTCAGTGCCGACACTTCTTAACACGTTTTTCTTAACTCAGCTTCGCGTTTGTTTGTTTGTGGATTTGTTTGTTGTTAACATTGACAACGAAAATTAGCCCATTTCTGATTGCTCTAGAGATCTGAAATTCGGCATGCAGGTCATTTTCGCCTAACAATTTCAGATACAATCATAAAAAGTAGCAATTAGAGACCTAAATTAGCTTAATTGAGTAAAGTATATATATATATATATTAGTATAGGTTGGCAGAATTCCTTCTTTCAAGCAGGTTTCATTGAAGACCAGAGAATTTGTTTTATTCGCAATTTTCTTATTAGCTTTTTCAATATATCGAACAATATTTTTAGTTTGAACTTTGAACTGGCAAATCGAAAATCAGGTTACCGATGGACATTTTTATTTCGTTAACGACGTTTCGAATGTTTCTATCATTCATTATCAAGTTAAAAGGCGCATTGAGTGATGAAATTAGCGTCGACATAAGTACAAAATCAAGTAAATAGGATACTTAGGCATCTCATTAGTGCGTGCAATTAACAAGTGTATTAAACAGTTAAGTAGGCATCTCATTAGTGCGTGCCATGGAGGCGATGCTGCCTGTTCCTGCAGGACTGCTGCCTGCTCCTGCCTCCTGCAGCCTCCTGCTCACCGCTTCCCCCTCCTGCATCGCCCCCCTGCTGCTGCAGGTGCGTTCCTTGCTCCTGATGTCATCCTGATACTTTATATTAGCATATTTTCCATTGTACAGTGCCGGAAATGGCTATACGACCACCCCGTTTTCTCCAAATATTTTTTCTTGCACAAAAAATATGGGATTCTATTTATACGAGGTTTAACTACGTTTAATAACGTTTCCGAGGATATGCGAAAAAAATAATTTTCTCAAAATATATGAGAAGAAATTATGAAAATTAGAAAAACCTAGGTGGAAATGGTTATAAAACCAGGATAAGTTTTTCCCCATTATGGTATGTATCTCTCTGTAATATTTTCACTTCAAAAAGTACAGCAATACAAAGAATATCTTGATTTTCGTCATTTAGGGTCTTTATGGTGTACTTCTGGTGTAGTTCAGTGTCCTCACTTATATTTTTTTAAGTAAAAAATATGCCAAATGGGACAAGACTCACTGAGGCCGAGAAGGCGCACATTTTCGGATTTGTGAAATGCAATAGAAGCCAACGGGACATCGAAATGGAATAAAACGCTCAAAGCCCATTGCACAATCATTTTTTTTGCTAATCCGGACGGCTACGGGTGAAAAAAGCACACTGGACCAACACCAAAATTAACCAACAGGGATCTTAGGAGACTGTTTTCTGAGGCTTCTAAAACTTGCGCTACCTCTACTTCCATAAAATTGGCCACTGGAGTTGATGTGACAGCATCCGTTAGATATTGCATGACTCGAAGAAATTCAAATACATGAAGAGTAAAAGTGCCCCTGTGCTCCAACAAAAGCATATTATCAACCAAAAAAATTTAGCGAAAAAATTTGCTTATTGGTAAAGGGATGGCACAAGATTATCATCAGTGATGTAAAAAGTTCAATCTTCATGATCCAGATAGATGGCAATGCTATTGGCACCACTGGAACGTGAGCCGGAATTCTTTTCCAAGCGGCAATCTGGTGTTGGTTCGGTCATGGTTTGGAGAGCGTTTAGCCGAAAGGGAAAATCAACTCTAGCTATTTTACGTGGTTACAAGATTCCGAGGCTTACAAGCACACGCTGTTTTACCAACTTCTCCCGTTTGCCGATGAGAAACATGAGGGAACATATGTTTTCCAACAAGACAATGCTTCGATTCACACCTCAAAATCAGCAAACATGTGCCTTTCCGCCTTATATATACATGTGCCTTATATATAATATATATATATATATATATGCAAGTTTGATTGAAGACCAGAGCATGCTTCTTATTAATAATCTTCTTATTCGTCTTTTCAATGACTCGAACTAAGTTTCTAGCTGGCGCCGGGAGATCAAACAGTAGGTTACCAAAAGACATTTTAATAGAATGCAACGTTTCGAAAATACAATTTTCATTATCAAGCTGAAGATGGTTTTACAACATTTGAAATTGAATTTGAAATGACTGAAGTACATATGAATGGTATAGTGGATACAATAAAATAAATAATGTGGATACAACAAAATATAAACTTAAAATTACTCTGAAAATAATTTCAGCGTCCGGACGAATCCAGTAGTTTGGAGGTTGATAGCCGGAGACTCGCTCTTGATAATGAGGGCCTCAGCTATCGTCAATCTCGATGGGTCAGGGCACCGCATAACTATGCTGGTGCAGGCTTCCAATGTCGCTCGGGTGATGGTCTCATTGTGGGCTTCCCGCATGTGGTTCTTGGGTCCTCCAGATTGTAGATGGCATGTGAGTCGGCGGCTTAAGGTCGTGCTTGTAAGACCAATGTAGTTTACATTTTGAAGAAGTCTACAACCTTCTTTATTACATGAGAATTTATAAACAACATTAGTTTCTTGAAGCAGTCCGGATTTTTTACAGGGATTATTGTTCATTACGATGTTTTTAATTTTCTTATTTTTGTAGTAGATCAGAAGTTTTATTTTTTCGTTATCTGTTGTGCTCTTGGTATTATTATGGATAATTGACTGGAGGACTCGTTCATCCACTTTGTAGCCTCTGTTCATCTGGTTTTGGTATAGAAGACCGTTGTGATGGTTCCATCAGATATTACTTCATTGTTGGTTCGTTTTTCTCTCGATCGGTAGTTTGCAATTTCGGTGTCAATTGTTCTATTTGAAAAGCCATTGTTTACAAGAATTTGTTTACACGATCTGAGTTCAGTTTTTAAATCACTCTCAGATGTGCAGGTCTTGAATGCTCTTTGGATGAGAGCGCGCACTGCGCTGGTTTTATAGCGCTGAGGGCATTCACTTTTTTGCGTAACAACGGACTAAAAAGGATAAAATAAAATACTTAAAAAAACTTTTTAAATAACCACGTTTTTCTTGTGGACTAAAAAGCAGAAAATAAATAATGACTCGCCCCAAAAAACGTGGGTCGGGCTGTACGTTCACCATCAAATTTCCAAAATTCGTGTATTGTATGCTTTTCGCTATAATCATAAATCTGCCCGTTTTTGGGGGCAGATCTCACGTTTTTTGGGCGAGCCATTATTTATTTTCTACATTTTAGTCTACAAGAAAAACGTGGTTATTTAAAAAGTTTTTTTTTTAAGTATTTTATTTAGATTTAATTTTATCAAAAAGTTAATCTTATTGGTTCTGTTCAATAGCTATCACGCGCCCTCGCCCTCGCTGAAGCAGAGCTTCGCCAGATTCAACAACGGTAAGAATTTTGTAAAACTTATAGACCTTGAATTGTAAAATTTTTTGTTGAATGATATACAAAAAAATACAAACTATTATAGCTGGTTCGTCAGACGATGCCAGCAATCCCCACAATTTCAGCATCCAGCACACCGAATTTGAGAAGATGGTAGTAAGCTTATGTAATAAGTAAGTCAGCTTATGTAAAATATGTAATGCTAACCTGCTAGTTGAACATCCCATTAATACTGCCTCTTTTTCCTCTCCAGCAGCATCACTCGACACACAATCACAGCATCACGAGAAAGAAACAAACTTGGAATATTTATATATGAATTACGCTGTTCAGTTTGTAATTTATTTGCAGAGAGGCCGAGAATGGAGAAATTAGGGCAGAGCTGCGGGCCGAGGTGGATCGCCTGCGCTCTGAACTTGCTGACAGAGATCAGCAAATCTCCCAGGTGTGATAAGGTCATCCTTTCGGTCAAAAATCGGAAATTTTTGCTTTTCAGTTTTCTTGGCCCATTTTGTAGCTCCTGAAAGTCGCGTCTAACGCAGCAATCCGCAATACTTTTTGCGGATTGCAGTCTTGAACTTCATGAAATGACCATTTTATAGCAATATTTACAAATTTTTCATTTAAAAATGGTATTTATAGATCCATCATTTACGTTAGTTGCATAGTTTTACCCCTCGTTAGAAAGCTACAACAATGCGCGTTCCAAGAAGCAAATATCATGGATGAACATGCAATAATTTTTTCGTAATGCAGTTATGAACTTATATAAGCAATAAGTAATCGTTATTGCTCGAATACCTTCTATGCTGAAAAAATTCTCTTTACCATTGAATCGTTCATTATTCCTGCAGCGTGCCATTCCTCGCATCGTGGCCATCGAGCACGTGGAAGAAGAGGCCCGTGACGAGGAGGCAGAACTCGAAATGTGAGTAACGTGCTTGCAATTATCCATAAGTTGAATAAAGTTCTAATGACAAATAAAAAATGCCTAATGCTGTATATAACTGCAATTGTTAGATGATTGTCTATAAGCCTATTCATTTGTATATCATTTGTTTTACCCACAGCCCGTCTGCGTCGCCATCGCTTCTGTTGCCCGGGTGTTCGTCCGATCATCGGCCTCGCACCCAGACTGCGTCGCCATCGATGCAGCCTGGAACCTCACGACGTGAGCGATCTAGGAGCGGGAGATCGCACAAGCGTTCTAGACCTAATAAGAAATTCAAGTGCGAGGAATGTGGCCAAACATTTGCAAGAAGGCAACATCTAGAAGACCATCAGAACACCCATCAGGAGGAAATGGGATACGCGTGCCCAATATATGGGTGCCATTTCTCCTGCGACTATAAAAGTAGTTACCACCGCCATCTGCGGACCCAGCATGCAATTAGCCCAACTAGACATTAGGTCGGTAATGTTAAAATTTATTGTCTAATTAACTCGTTAATGTTTATACGCTTATGAGCGTATATTCAAATTGCCTGTATTCTCAGCTGCAATGAACACTTACCGTAAAGCGATGTCTCTATTCACTTGAGACACAGATACTCTTAACTCAATAAAAAATTGTAATTGATTCCAGATCGTTCATGTAACTACTTCTGTTTCTGGATTGTGTTATAATCGATCGAGTTAGAATGATTCTTATCTTCATTCTATTATAGAATTAGTAAATTCTTATATTGTTTGGCTTATTTGTGAATGGCTTCAGTACTACTCCTCCAGCTTTGGAGACGATGTATCTTTTCGGGCTGTCTTAATTCCTTTATTGCTAAATTTTGTGACCTACGATAAAGTCTGGGATTAAAACTGAACTGCAAGCAACGATTTCATCTGATTAAATTACTTCCATTGGCCTCTATTTGTTTTGATCCTTTTGAAATATTAGCTGTACATCTGGAAGAGGTTTACCTCAAGCGTAAGGAGAAATTTCCCTACACTTTGCTGTTGTAAGGAAAGACAACAACGATGTCAAGATGCTGTCAAATTACCATGGTGTAGAGCCGACTGAAGAAGTGAGAGGATGGAGCAAGCAGAAGAAGGACCAGGTCTCATTAGAACAACCCAAGTGCATCGCCGATTACAAGTACATGTGTGGCGTGAATAAAATGGATTGGCTCATCAATAAATACGGGATCAAAGTTTGTGGAAAAAAATTGTATTTTTCACTTTTCACAAAATTTCTCGACACGACAGTCATAATTCCACACATTCTGTTTTATATGGCAAACGGACAAATGCCCCTTGCTGGAATTCAAGAGAATAGTAAGGGTATATGTGCATGTATCATCTTTGTCAGGTCGTCCATCATTCAGTAAGCAATGAGAGCGGTGGGTGATAGATGGAAGAAGTAATTCAGGGCATGTTCTGGAGAAAACAGATGGTGGAAGACAACGGAAGTGCGTGGTTTGCAAAGTAAATGTCCAAAAGGAATGTACCAAGTGCATCGTTGGGCTACACGTTGAAAGCTTCCCTGAATGGCATCAGTGAAATGACTCTCATTTTGAGGGTAGTTATTACTTTCATATATTTAGTTTGAAAGGAGCAATGTTTCTTCATGTAATCTCATTAGTTTTGTGGTGACAAATAAAGGAATGTGCATTTAGCATTAGAAAGAAGCACTAATAACACATACTCACTTCATAAGTTTGGGAATAATAATAAGAACGGTGACGAAAAATAATTGGTATTTTTATTACCCTTTTGCCCATGATCCCCATTTGGGACTTTTTCTTTAAACTACTGCTACTCTCATTATATTGTGCAGAAACTGTTTTATATGATATATTTACACCATATGAAGGTGTTTAGATGGAAATTTCACGAATCAAGAATTTGGGCGTTAATGGGTTAATCTCTCGTCTAGTCTTTAGAGAAAAAATAATTCATTTTTTTTTCATGTTCTGTATTTTTTCAGATTGCATTAAAAATGTTGGATGTTCAGGTTTTCATTCGAGTTACTCCTGGCACCAGTGATAGGCACTGGGAGGTGGAGGAAGATGGCCGTAGCCTCCGTCAGGTCCACACTGAAGGCGCCGATGCAACGGTTCGCTCTTTTGGTGGGTTTTCTAAGAAACTTGTGGGTTGTATCCATGCAGTAACCCAATAAATTTTTAGATTGTATGTATCTCATTATATATCTGCAAAATTGGAAATATATGATTGAAAATTTAAGATTGAATTGAATAATATGACATAATTTATTTACTATTGTTATTGTCTTGCAGATAGAGTGTTCGACGGAAACACCAGAAACGTCGAAGTCTTCCGGTGCGCGATGATGCCTCTAATTGAGGGAGTCTTCGAGGGATCGAATGGAACCCTCTTCGCATATGGGTACACCGCAACTGGTGAGGCGGTATTTTACTTACGATCAGAAATATTCAGCGGAGAACTTGGTGAAGGTGGAAAAATTGCAGAAATTTACCTCTCCCAATCTCATGAAATAATATGAATAATAAAAATAAAATAATTGAAAATTTGTATATCACGTAATGCTATTTTCAACATGTTTTCACCTAAATATCGACATACAGGAAAGACTCACACTCTCCTTGGGTGCGAGGAGGATCCTGGGATCTTCCGCTTGGCCATCGCCAACATCTTGGAAGGCGTTCAGAACGCGCAAAACCGCCAGTATATGGTCAGGTATGTTCTGCATTCCTCACAATGTTCAAATTTAATGAGAAATGGGCCAATTGAAAGGCTGAATTATTTTTAAAATAGGTTTAAGAAACTTTTCCGTCCGATTGGAAAGCTCAAGTAACACCATTGTTCAAAAAAGGTGACAAGATTAGCCCCCGGCAACTATCGCCAAGTCAGTCTGACAAGTGTTGTTTGTAAGGTAATAGAATGTGTTGTGAGGGATAGGATTATCGATCACTTGACTGCTCACCATCTCATATCAGATTGTCAACATGGTTTTATCGCCGGTAGATCCTGCACCACTAATTTATTATCTACGTTAAACGATTGGAATCGCCTGCTGGACGAAAAGGAGCCAGTGGATGCATTTTACATCCAACAAACTTCTTGGACTAATCAGACGCTCATACGAGTTCCTATAGATGCAGAAACGATGAAGCAGTTGTTTTTTGCTGTCGTGCGCCCAAAACTAGAGTTTAAAAGTGTTTTGTGGTCACTGAAATTTTAAAAGGACGAAAATTTAACAGATAATGTTCAGAGACGTGCAACAAGGATAATTCCAGGCTTAGAGGGCAAGTCCTGTGAAGAATGGATGGAGATTATGAAGCTTTTAGGCCTCAGTTATCGACGTCTGCTTCTGGAACTCATTGAAGTATGCAAGTATACTCATGGTTTATACAAAGTCCCGAAGGATTACTAGTATTTGAAACCAGAACCAACACCAGGGGCCACGACTATAAACTAAAATAATATAAGTCAGTACTCACTGCAGTGAGTGACAGATCGAGAGCGCTGCATTTTCTCGTCGACGAAAACTTGAAGTCACGGACGGGCAGACAGACGGACGGACAGATGGACGGACTGACAGTATTTTTTTTCCATAAATGAGAAAATGCGCTAAAAATTGAGCTGCAACTTATCCACGCGGCAACATTTCTGCTCGCTTTGAATCACACCGACATGTGGAACAGCCTCCCCGATTACGTCGTTGGCGCTCCGAGTATGAACGCGTTCATGAACAGACTAGATGAAGCAAATTGAAAAATATATGTGCAGACTTGAAATGCCTAGCACCATATCGAACCCGGTGGAATTCTAGTAGCTATTTCGAACTATCGTCAGTCCTGAAAATATACGGTCAAATGACACGATTTTAGATCTTCTGTGAACAAGTCACGAAAATTAGGAATCGGCGACAGGCCACAGCAGGCCTACTCTTCAGTGCCGACATCACTATGTTATGTTATGTTTGTCATTTGTCATTATGTTTGTCAGTAAGAATGAAATTTTCAATGTTCCCATAACTTGCTCACTGATGCCGACTTTTTTTTCAGAGTCTCCATTATCGAGCTCTACATGCAGAAGTTCTACGACCTACTGGTTGGCCGCGCCAACGCCCCTGGCAATGGGCCTTTGATGGTTTCTCATGACGCAACTGGCGACTTCAACCTGCGGGGCCTCACAGAGGAAGTTGTCGCCAGCGAGCAACAGGTAACGCGTAATCTTATGAACGTAATGATTTTTCACCATAAATAATATGCGTTTAAAAATTACTTTTTAAAGAAATCACATCTAAAGAATCCAGTGTCTCTGATGTTACACATGTACAATGAATTTCTAATTTTATTTTCAAATATTAAAAAATTATTTTAGAGTTTTTTTTAATACATAAAAATTTTGTAAATTTTCAAAATTATTTATTCTGTCAAGTGATTCGTGCATTGTCTCCAACCTTATGCAAGTGTGCAAAATTTCAGATCGATTGGACAGGTAGAAGTGTGTCAAATTTCGTTTATAAAATTTGTAGCAGACAAAATTATTTATACTTTTTTAGTATTAAAAATGTTTTTTTTTTTAATTTTTTAAATTATTTATTCTGTCAATTGATTTATGCATTGTCTCCAACTCTACGCATGTGTGCAAAATTTCAGATCGATTTATAGACAGCTGAGCCTATCACTAAATTGATCTGATTTTACGCAGCTACTCTCACTGCTGCAAAGAACAGAGATGAACCGTCAGGTGCGACCAACACCCAAGAATGAGCGCAGCTCCAGGTCGCACGTCATCTTCAGAATCGTGAGTGTCCTTTAGCCGTACGGTCACGAACATCATCGGCTGATTTACGGCAAACTAGCTCGGAGTGGCATCATCGTAGGCTCGGAGTGGCATCACTATCGCGGCTGACCACCTTGATGCATGCTCTTAAAAACTGCTTGTTAACTCTTAAAAACTGTTTGTTATTAATTTCATTGGGTTTTTTCTTGACCTAATGAAATTTCTTGACCTAATGATAGCACAATGAAATTGTTTTTGGATTCATTACTGCAATGACGTGTAATATATAGTTTTCTATGCGCAGAGAGTAGAGTATGTGGAGGCGGGTTCATCTGATAGCCACGTGGCTGCGACAGGGTCGCACCTCCTCATTGTGGACCTGGCCGGGTCGGAGAAGATGTCGAACCCTGGCGGCCAAAAGGACGAACTGTCGAAAGAAGGCATACAGATTAAGCAGGACCTCTTAGCTCTGAACAAAGTCATTGGAGAGCTTAGTAGAGGAAGGTGAGTCGTCGCTATAGCAATAGCTGATGTCAAAAAAGCCTACCACCTTTTCATAATAGTTTATTTTAATAGTTATTTTAAATCAGTTCTGTAAATATCTTAACACGTTGACTACGATTGCTTCATCTTGTACTATTATTTCATTTTTAGTAACGTTTTTAAAGAGTTTCGCCAGACGGTCATTTTTTCCGGACAAATTCCGTGATTTAGTTTTTCTCAATTGCGTTGGCTGGCTAAAATTTGTGATAGGGGTACTTCCTAATTAAATTTTAAATACTGCAAAAAGAAAATGAATGGAATTTTTATGCAGAAGCTACAAATAAACTAGTATATATTGAGTTATCGTCCTTTTTTTGGCCTTTTTTGTTCTCGGATTTGGCCGATTTTAGGCAACCAAAATTGTGTATCACTACGTCCTGGAGAAATACATTTCGTGGTACGCATATGTACCACTTCGTAGTCAACGTATTAATAATTTCAGTTGTAATTAATTAATAGTTTCCATTTAAACATTAGACGATGGTTGCATCTAATAGTTTTAATTTTGTACGTTTCCAGACCCGTCGCCACTTATCGCGGCAACTCTTTGACGGAACTGCTGCGAGGCTCATTAGAGGGCAACGTCCGACTAAGCATCCTGTGCACAGTCGACGTCTCCTCTGCAAATGAGACGAAAGATACTCTAAGGTATCTCCTATGTAATCAAAGTTTCAAAATATATTTAACTATTTGAGGTAACATGCCTGAATTGAATTATATTAAATGTTAATTTTGTTAATTTTTTCATCTGCAGGAACTAAATTTTAATTATAGAGAAAAATAGAAAAATTTCGTGTAGTGACCGCATTTAATAAATTTTTTCAGTTGAGATTTAAACCTGTGCATTTTTTCAGTTTTTCAATTGATGCCATTTTCTCTGTGTGACAG